GAACGTCCAGCCAGATAGTGAAGAAAGTTTCCACAAGTTACGTTTGCGAATAAGAAGGACGTAAGACTGAATTAGACTCATTCGTGCGATTCATTAATCTATCAACAGTTGTCGATTTCTATCCAGGAAAGAATTCCACCGTTCTATCTCCTCTGGGAATGAATTAAAAATTAATTTACTCATTTTTATACTTATTTTGGCGATCTTTGTTCACTCTGCTCTTTTAGAAAAAGAAGGAAAATGTTAAGCTCGAATTGTATACCAGTCTAACCAATCTAATTCTACCGCGAAAATCTGGGTTCGTCATATTAAATTTGGAAGATTCGCAACAATTTGTGTAAATTTCATAAAATTTCACGCAGAAAGATTACCTAAATTCGAGTGCTCAGTACCCACTTCTCAGACTACGCGTATTTCTTCCCGTTCTTCGCTACGATCTTTCAGGAAGAAAAGGAAAATAGTACGAGTCTTTCAAGAGATTCTTCAAGATTGGATAAAAATCTAATTCTACCGCGAAAATCTGGGTTCGTCATATTAAATTTGGAAGATTCGCAACAATTTGTGTAAATTTCATAAAATTTCACGCAGAAAGATTACCTAAATTCGAGTGCTCAGTACCCACTTCTCAGACTACGCGTATTTCTTCCCGTTCTTCGCTACGATCTTTCAGGAAGAAAAGGAAAATAGTACGAGTCTTTCAAGAGATTCCTCAAGATTGGATAAAAATCAAATTCGAAATGGAAAATCTGGGTTCTTCAGTTGTAATAAAATTGCGCACATAAATTGACATTTATCTCGTTCGGAAGGTTTAAATTGTCAGACTACTCCTCGAGACTACCGATATGCAAATTAATCGAAAGGATGCCGCGTTCGCCCGAGGAAAAATCGAAAATTCGAGCTGCGAGAGGTGTCTCTGGCTATTCGTCGAAATTTAATAGAAATCGAGGAAATCGATATTCCTCTGGTTCGCGCACTTTCCAGTCGCGGCGGACGGACAGCTATCCAGGCAACGGTGCGCCGTATCGTCGAGAAAGTTGAAATTGCTCTATCAAACAGCCGCTCCGTTCGCAGATTTCTCCTGCAACACGTGTCTATCTCGTGATGGCCGTGTCTCGTCCCGCGGCTTTCCCGCGAAACTTTCGTCTCGTTACGAGAGCGTCTCGCGTCTCCACGGTAAATCGATCGAATTCGATTGCATCCACCAAACAGAACGATCCATACGTTCCTTCGTTAGTTTTGTAGTTGATCCAGTTGACAGAATTACGTTTTCTTTCATTTTTTTTCTTAATTGAAAAGCCTTAATGATTAACTCCACTTTTTGATAATCCCTCAGCTTTAATAGCAAAGTACATACACGCTTGGCGCTTAATTTTTCATAAATAAAAGGAATTTAAGAAATTTTATTTTATG